GGCATGGGCAAGGGCAAGGGGGGCAAGGGTCGTGGGGGGTCGGCTGGTGGAGGGGGTGCGGATGCGGATGGAGAGGGTGGTCAGTCAAATTCGGGGACTATGCAGCAGCAACCGTAGCAGCAGCAGCCGCAGCAGACGTGGGGGCCGATGGGCCCTTGGGGTGGTGGTCGTGGTGGAGGCCGTGGGGGTTGGGGCTCACGGCACTCGGGGCTTTGGGGGTCGCGTGGATCCTCTTTGAGTCCGGGTGCTAGTGGTTCTGGTGGCGCGGTGACCTGCACGTACCGGCTGCTGACTGGCCCACAGGCTGGCCAAGTATGCCAGCGCACGGGGCACACCGCCGCTCGCTGCTTTCGCTGCTTGGACGACCTCTACCGTCATCACTTTGGCCCGCTGGTGCAGGTACCCCCCTGGCATGGCTTGCTTCGTCGTGGGGTTCCTATCTTTGATATGGTTATGCTTCAGATCGATCATGCCTTGTATTCTCTGTATTCTGATGCTTGTAGTGTTGCCAGTTCTAATTCTCCTTCTGTTTGTAGCCTTGAAGCTACCGTAGTCTAGGATCCCCTGCTGCATCAAGCATAGGACATGTTACCACTCTTCACTGGGCTCCCCCATATCGGCCCTCTCCATTGTCCTAGACTCTAGTGCATCTCAGTGCTTTTTTTGAGACAGTACTGCTCTCAACCCGCTTCCTGCACATGTCCGCGTCGCACTAGCAGACTCCTCCGCCATTGCTGTTGCACGTAGCACCACCACTCTTCCCTGTCCAGCTGTCCCCTCTAGCTCCCTCACCAGTCTCCACATCCCCTCGTTTGCCAGGAACCTAGTGGGTGTCGGTTACCTTCAGGACCGAGGCGTCACCACTACGTTCCCTGGCCGCGAGAGGCACGCCGCTTGCTAAGACAGCCACCGGTCGACACATAGCCACTTTTGAGCGTGACCCTGGGTGAGGTCTCTTTACACTGCACACTGAGTCTCCGTCGGCTGCTGCGTCTGCCGAGGTCGTCGCGTCCTGCTCCTGTCGCTCACTAGCCTACCCGACCCTTCCGTGGCACCACCGCTTAGGTCACCCTGCGCTCTCGCGTCTTACGCACATGTCCCGGCACAGTCTAGACACTAGTCTCCTTGCGTCGCTACTCGCCCTGCCTCCGTCCGTAGCACCATTGTGCACCTCCTGCATCGAGGGCCGGCAGCGCACCACCCCTCACTCCTCCTCGTTTCCTCCTACCACAGCACCGCTACAGACACTGCACATGAACGTCTGGGGCCCTGCCCCGGTCAATGGTCTTAGCCGGGAGTGCTACTTCTTAGTCGTCGATGACGACTTCTCGCGGTTCACCACAGTGTTCCCGCTGGAGCGGAAGGCCGACGTGCCTACCGTTCTCCTCCCGTGGTTTCTTGCTGTTTGCACCCACCATCGCCTGCCTGTAGGTCACTTACACTCTGACCGCGGTGGCGAGTTTGCCTTTGGCACTCTAGGACGTTTCTGCCATGCGCAGGGCATCCGCCAGACGTACACACTACCGGACTCCCCACAGCAGAATGGGTCGCTGAGCGACGCATCGGCCTGATCATGGAGGTGGCTCGCACCTCCATGGTCCACGCCAATGCACTCCATTTTCTGTGGCCATTTTCTGTGCGCTACGCTGCTCACCAGCTTAACTTGTGGCCGCAATCCCAACGGCCACATGTTTCGCCGATCCTCTTTTGGACCAGGTGTCCGCGTGGCGCGTCTTGGGCAGCCTTGCTCACATCCGCGACACTGCCGCGAACAAGCTCTCAGCCCGCACCCTTCCTTTTGTCTTCCTGGGTTTTGCGCTTGACGCCCCTGACTGGATGTTCTACCACCCGTCACACCATCGCTTTTACCACTCTCGTGGCGTTACCTTCGATGAGACGCTCCCCTACTACCGTCGCTTCCCCACCGCAGCACTCGTGTGCCTCCTCCTCCTCTCTTCCTTGTCCTTGCCCCGCCTGCCACTCCGCTCCCGCCAGGCCCGGCCCAGTCTGGTGTCTCCCACGCCACTCAGTTCCCCTCGGTTGCGCCTGTGGGGGAGTCGACTGACTCTGGGGGCCCAGTTGCTAGGGGCGCGCGTAGTATCCTTATGGCGCCTCTCCCAGCCTCGGTACCCAAGGCACCTCAGTCGCCTCCTCCCTTGCCTCCGCAGCAGCAGCCGTCGCCGCAGCAGACTCAGTGGCCGCAGTAGTAGCAGCAGGGAGCAGTGGGCTTTGGGGATGCCGGTTCTCAGGGTGCTGGTGTTGGCGGTGTTGGTGTTGGGGCTGCTGGTATTGGTGGAGTTGGTGTTGGGGGTGCTGGTTCTGGGGGTGCGAATTCTGGGGTTGCTGGCTCTAGGGGTGCTGGTGGCAGCCGCGGTGCCGTTGGAGGTCCTGGAGTGGACAGGGAGCAGCCACAGCGCCAGCTGCAGCAGCAGTACCAACAACAGCCGCAGCAGCAGGCACAGCCACAACAGCAGGCGTAGCTGCCGCAGCAGGAGCAGCCGCAATTTGCCCTTCGTCTCCTTGGTCTTGCTCCAGGTTCCCCTGTCCGCCCGCCCGTTCCCCCTCCGGTGCGTGTCCCTGTTTACGGCCTGCTGTTCCCTCCTCTGGACTCCTCTCCGACTCGTTTTCCCCCGCGCTCCCCTCTGTCCCCAGACTTGTCCCCCGTTCCCCCTTATTCCCAGTCCCCAGTTTTTCCCCACTAGGCCCGTCGCCTCTCTGGTGCTCGTCCTGTCTCTCCTCGTCCTAGTGTGCACCCTATGGTTCTTCGTTCACGTGCTCCTGTAGTCACAGGCCTCCTTTTGCCTCCCCCGTCATCGCTTCCGTCATTTCCCCCTCCTCGCTTTGATGCTGCTCGTCCTACCCTCTCGTGCTTGCGTGCGTCACTTGTCACTGACCCTTCTACTCCTCCTGAGTCTGTCTCTTCGCTTGTTGCTGTTCTTACTAACTTCGCTGCTAGCCACCGCCTTGACTACGATGCCGCTCTGGTCTCTGGCACTGCCCGTCCTCCGTCTGTAGGGGGTGCACCTGCCCTTGGCCGTGACGTGCTAGAGGATAGGCAGTACGAGTTGACCTACCTTGCTGCCGCTGTTTCCCATCTCGGCTCCATGCTTGTATCCCCAGAGGGCGATCCAGATGCTTTTGACATCCCTGTTCCGCGCTCTTACGCTGAGGCGGTGTCGGGGCCCTGGGCAGCCCAGTGGATACAAGCCATGGAGGATGAGATGGCATTCTACAAATCCACAGGCATTCACATCGACGCAGTTCCCCCGCCTGTGGCAAACATAGTCGATGGCATGTGGATCTACAGGGAGAAGCGCGCACCTGGAGAGCCGCCGAAGTCCAAGGCGTGTTACGTGGCTAGAGGCTTCAGTTAGCGTGAGGGTGTGGACTTCTTGCGGACCTTCTTTCCGACCTCGAAGATGAATACTCTTCGGGTCCTTCTTCACATGGCCGCGCAGCGTGACTACAAGCTTCACTCACTCGACTTCTCCACAGCGTTCCTGCAGGATAGTCTGCACGAGCAGATCTACCTCCGGCCCCCTCTAGGCTTTTCTAGTTCCTTCCCACCTGGGACCGAGTGGAGCATGCGCCGTCCTGTCTACGGCCTTCGTCAAGCACCACGTGAGTGGCACGACATGCTTCGCACCACTCTTGCTGAGCTGCAGTTCTTTCCGTCCTCTGCTGACCCCTTCTTTTTTTGTTCGCACAGGTTAGACACCGTTCTAAATTCTAGTGTGCGTAGACGATCTTATCTTTGCTACTCCTGACATAGTGGCACTGTCCTCAGTGAAGGCCGAGTTACTTAGGAGACACACCTGTACAGACTTGGGGACACTGAGGCGCTATCTAGGCTTGGAGATCTCTCGTGACCGTGCTGCTCGCACGGTTACACTCTCCCAGTCCAATATGGAGCAGCAGATCCTCCAGAGGTTCAGTCTCCAGTTCTCCTCAACACAGCCCACCCCTATGCCTGTGGACCACAAGCTACCTGTTCCTGTTCCGGCTGAGCCGGTCAAGGCTAGTGGTCCATATGCAAAGCTGGTGGGGTGCCTCATGTACCTGATGGCCTACACTCGACAAGATCTTGCGTACCTTCTCAGTCTCCTTGCTTGCTTTGTTGCGACAGGCAGGCACTGACCAGTCCACGGGTCAGCTGCCAAGAGGGTGGTGCTAGCAGGACGGGAGCCAGTGGTGCTCAGTTGACACACAAACGTGTCGTGGGCTGATGACGTGGAGATGCTCCGGTCATCTTAGGGCTACTGTTTTAGTCTTGGTGCTAGTGCAGTCTCTTGGAGGTCCAACTGATCGTCGTCTGTAGCTCAGTCCAATTGTGAGGCAGAGATCTACGTGGGGGCTATGGCCACTCAGGAGCTTCGCTGGCTGACGTTCTTGCTCACTGACTTGGGTGAGCAGCTAAGGTCTGCCCCGGTCGTGTTTGGTGACAACAGGGCCATGATCCTTCTGTGTCAGGAGGCTTGACTTGAGGGCATGGTGAAGCACACCCAGCTGCGGTACTTCCTGTTGCATGAGTTGCAGCAGTGCGGCCAGGCTCGAGTGGCAGTTGGCCTCAGAGGCCAATACCACTGATATCTTCACCAAGGCACTTGCGCCTCGTGACCATCAGCGATACCGTACTCAGCTTGGTCTCGTCTCCGTAGCAGCACCACTCCTTGTATCCTGAGTCATACTATACCTGCTTGTACTTGTTGTTCTATACTTGCTTGTCTTGCTACACTTGTTGAGTGACCTTGTGGCCTCTTGTCTCAGTGGTCAAACTAGTAGTGCTGCCCTGAGTTGCTCGGTTGCCCTCACAAGAGGTCAGACTAGTAGTGCTGCCCTAATGTACTTTTTTTTTTTTTTACTTTTTTTTTTTCGCGCTACTCCAACAGGAGGGTGTTATGTATAATTTGTACTAAAAAACAGTGGGTGCTCTAAAAAATGTGCCATATCATAAGCTATCCCCTGCATATGCCACCCATGGGGTGACTACTTCGGCACGTCTTATATGCGGGGCAATACGTTATATGGATGCAGAATTTACGTTCACATCGATCAAGGAGGTTAGGCCACATTCGGCAAAACATAGCCTTAAAAACTAGAGTTGCCGTAAAAGCACATATGGTTTTGATGTGGACTCGGTGGTGCAATCCAGGGTCTGAAAGTAATGTCAACCCTTAGTCGTCATCCCATGTGTCACCCCTATGGAACCCACCCTACCCTAAGCCTGCACATTTTCTCCTCCACCATCAAGCCTGCCATCCAACCCCCGTTCTTCCCCCTCTCCTCACGACAACCTGAATCGTCGGCTCGATGGGGAGCCATGCCTGCTTCCACCCACCCACCCTCTGCCACTGCCGCTGCTGCTGCCAGGACCAGCTGTTGCCACATGTGCAGCAGGTGTGCGCACACCACCACCACCACCAGCAGCACTGCCCGTGGCAGCACCAGCAGGAGAGCTTGGCCGAGCAGAGGAGGTAGTGGTGGTGGTGGTGGTTGCAGCGCCAGCTGCTGCTGCTGCAGTTGATGATGCCTTTGAGCCTGCTGCTGTGCGGAGGAAGGAGGAGATGATGGACGCGGCCTTGCCACTTGATGCTGTCGCGATTCCACGGGAGTAAGGGGAGGCCGAGGGGGGGAAAGGGAGGAGTGGGGGTAGGGGAGGGGGAGGGAAGAAGGGATGAGAGGGTGGACATGGGAATAGGGACGAACGGAAATAATGAAGCGGATGAGAGGGGAAACCGGACAGAAGAATTCTGGATTTAGCAAGACTGCATGCCATGTGAAGATCGCACATGCATGACCAAAGCTACAACCTTGCTGAACGCGAAGGTTCTTGCACACTCCCCCCCTCCCTTCACACCCGCCCTCTCTTTCAATAATGCATGGCCTATGCAATGTGGCAACGCACTGCAGCCACACACCACCACCCACCTTCAGCCAGCCTCATAGGACTTCTGGAGCGTGCGCCCCCCCTCTCAGCCCTCCCCTTCCGCTCCCCTCCTGCTGCTTCTGTCACCCCAGCAGTACCAGCACCAGCACCAGCTCCCATTCCCACTCCTCCAGCCGCCCCTCCTACCCCAGTACCTAAAAACCCTCCACTCTCCTCCCCTTCTGCTGCGGCTGCCGCTCCTCCTCCTCCTCCCCCTCCTCTTGCTGCAACTGCCGCTGCTCGTCTCCTCTCCTTTGCCTCAGCAGATGCTCCTGCCATCTGCAGCAACATGCCTGCAACCACTGACCTCTCCCCCCCTCCCCCTCCCCCTCCCCCTCCTCGTCCGCCCCCTCCTCCTGTGCCTGCTCCAACCAGCTTCCCACTGCCCTCCTGCCCTCCTGTGCCCCCACTCTTCTTGCTGTTAATGCCCCCGCTTCCAGTGCGCCACAGACCCATGGGTCCAGACGAGGAGCTTCCAGCACCAGCAGATGCAGCAGCTCCACTGCTGCTGCCCCACCTGCCACTGTTGCTCCTGTAGGCCAGGCCGGGAGAAGCAGCAGCAGCAGCAACAGCAGCAGCAACAGCACCAGCACCAGCACTAACACCACCACCTGCTGCTGCTGCTTGTGTGCTGGTTGCTGCACGCCGGGAAGGCGCGACTGGTTGGGCAGCCATGTCTGAATGTAGCACGGTGCTGCTGCTCGCCTCTCCGCTTTCAGCTTCCTGCTGCTGCTGCTGCTGCTGGTGCAGCGAAGTCATCAAATGATATGAGGAAGGGTGCGAAGGCGTCGCTGGAATCACAGAGGAGGAAGAAGAGCCAGCAGCTGAGGACGATGCAGAAGCCGCCGTCACGGGCGCACCCCCCTCTCCTCCACCCACTCTCCACCTCCCTCTCTCCCTCCCAGCACCCGCCACAGTGCCTTCCCCTGTGCCTCTGCCTCTAGCGCTGGAGGCACCTGCACCTGCTGCGGCCACAGCAGCAGCAGCGGCCTGCAGCCTTTGTCGCGCTCCCAGCACAGCAGCCAACCCTCCCCCCAGACCTGAAATCGCACCTGTCTTTGCTGATGGTGTAGAGGGAGCAGCACTTCCACCAGCAGCAGCACCAGAAGGTGTACCAGCAGCACCAGCAGCACCAGAAGCAGCAACACCAGCACCAGCAGGTGCAAGCGCACCCGCTGAATAATTATCTCCGGCAGCTGTTGTGCCAGCAGAGGCAGCAGATGCGGACGCAGTAGCTGGCCTTGCCACGTAGGGAGACGCGCCAGAAGAAGCAGCAGCAGCAGCAGGTGCGGCACGGTAAGTGGACATGGAGGCTGCTGCTAGCGAGGAAGGGTCCATCTTGAGAGCTGATACCTTCAGCTGCAGGTTCAGAATGCGCTGCTGCAGGGAGGGGGAGGAGTTGGTGGTGGCGCTGGTGGCCGCGCTGGTGGCGCTGGTGGCCGCGCTGGTGGCGCTGGTGGCCGCGCTGGTGGCGCTGGTGGCGGTGGTGGTGGTGGTGGATGGGGAGGCGGAGGGAGCAGTAGATGGCAGCAAGGAAGAAGCAAACACCGAGGATGGAAGCCCACGCTGCTGTTGCTGCTGCTGCTGCTGCAGCTGGTGGTGCTGCTGTTGTCTGTGGTGCTCTGAGCTGGCTAGCTCCACCACAGACTGACGCTGCTCCCTGGTTCTGTTTGTGCCAGGGCCCTGCCCAGCAGGTGCACCTGAAAGCACTCCTGCGGCTGCTGTTACCGCCGCTGCTTCTCCTCCTGCTGCTCCCCCCTTTGTTGCTCCTGCCAACAATCTTTCAGAGCTCAGTGCCAGGCCGTTGGGGTGTGCCGTGGTTGAAACAGCACACGTGGCAGCAGCCGATGCAGAGATGGCGGATGTGGTTACTGCGAAGAATGGCAGCAGGGAGGATTGGGTGAGAGAGATGGGAGAGAGAGAGGATGGAGAGAGTGAGAGGGACACAAGCAAGTAAGGGGCAGGAATGGATGGATGCAAGTGCAGAGTGGGGATAGCTGGTGCGCAGGAGAGGGCATGTGAGAGGGGTGCAGAACGTGCAAATACTGTCCTTGCTCTGAAGGAGTAGGGATGGTGAAGGCTGTTTGGGTGCACGCACCCATAGCATGCATGGCTCTGTGTGTGTGTGCGTGGCTGTGTGTGGGTGTTTGTGTGTGTGTGTACGTGGCTGTGTGTGTGTGTAGGTGTGTGTGTGTGTGTGTGAGCGTGCGTGCTTGTGTGCCTGCGTGTGTGCGTGCGTGCTTGCGTGCGTGCTTGTGTGCGTGCGAGTGAGCGCGCGTGCGTGCGAGTGAGCGCGCGTGCGTGCGTGCGTGCATGCTTGCGTGTGTGCGTGCTTGTGTGCGTGCGTGCTTGTGCGAGTGCGTGCGAGCGTGCGAGCGTGCGTGTGTGCGTGCGTGCTTGCGCGCGTGCGTTCGTGCTTGCGCACGTGCGTGCGTGCGTGCGTGTGTGCGTGCGTGCGTGTGTGCTTGCGTGTGTGCGTGCGTGTGTGCGTGCGTGCGTGTTTGCATGCGTGTTTGCATGCGTGTGTGCGTGCGTGTGTGCGTGCGAGCGTGCGTGCGTGCGTGCGTGCGTGTTTGCATGCGAGCGCATGTTTCTTGAAGCAAAACCAGTCCATGCATGAGGGCTCACCAGAGCGCTTGGAGACAACATGCTGGTGGTGCCCGTCAGAAACATGTGAGGTATGTGGGGCGTGTGAGGCCGAGAGGACTGTTGATGCTGACACTGTTGCCTTGCGTGCCTCTGGAAAACGTATATGGATATGGATGCACACACACGCTTACATACATGCATGCACACACATGCACACATGTGCACATGCAGGCACGCACAAACGCACACACACACACACAAGCACACAAAAGCAAGGACAGAGACGCCAATATAGAAAGAAAGGTGGGAGCCGTAAGTGATTGAGCGAGGAGGGCGGGATGTAGAGACGCGTCTGATTAGCATGGGCGGATACATGGGAGGGGCGGTTGGGGGGATTTGGGCGAAGAGCAGAGGGGGTCGAGAGAGAGAGGGAGGAAAGTTTCTGTGGAGGGTGTGAAGAGGGGCGAGGGAAAGGGGAGGCAACGCAAAATGCAGGCAGCATGGGAGCAGGGATGACGACCCACCTTTGATCAAGTTGTGCAGCCACGCCATGTCCTGTGCCTGCTGCCCTTGCTGCCCCTGCTGCCCCTGCTGCCCCTGCTGCTCCTGCTCCTCCTGCTGTTTCGTGCCCTTTCTTGCGCCGCTCATAAACACAGTCTCCTCCTCCCCTTGCTCCACAGCAGCAGCAGCAGCAGACCCAGAAGCAGCACCATCATCGTAATCATAGTTGTTATCACTGGCGGCATTATCAGAAGCAGCAGAAGCACGGCTTGCTGCAGCTGCATCAGCAGCAGCAGCAGCAGTGCTGGCCGTTTCAAACCATGAGTTCCTCCCACCAGCAGCAGCACTATCAGCACCAGTGCGGCCGCCACCAACACTGCTGCCACTGGCCCCACTCCCCTCAACACCACCAGCACTACCGCCACTGCCATCACCATCACCCACTCCCGCCCCTCCCCTCACCCCTCCTCCCCCATACATCCCCACCTCTTTCCAGATAGGCCCGTCAACACTCTCATTCACAGCAGAGAGTGACACCAGCGACGCTGACACAGACACATCAGGGGTGGCACCAGGTGTAACGTGAGGTGTAACCCCAGGTGTAACTCCAGGTGTTACCGCTGCTGCTGCTGCTCCGCCTGAAGCATCTGACCCAGCGGCATGCAGAGAGGTGACTGAAGCAGTGACCCCTGATTGGCTCGCTTGTGTGTAACTCGTGTTGTGCATGAGGGCGTTACCGTTACTGTTTCGGCCGGCGCCAGTCATCCCCAAACTGCCTGTAGGTACATGATTAGTATTGGAGCTGCTGCTGGTGGTATTGCTGGTGTGGCACGCCCAAAGCACTGCACTGCTGCTGGTGTTTCCCGCACCTGCACCCGCTGAAGCTGCTGCTGCAGCCTTGTCCGCCGCTGTTGTTGCTGCATTGTTTGCAACTGTGGCAGCAGCAGCTGCAGCAACTGCGGCATTACCAGACGCCAGCCCTCCGCCTCCTCCTCCTCCCCCACTTACTCCCAGCCAGCCTCGAGTGGACCGCATTGGGGAGAAGCTCCTGCGCAGCAATGGCTCCCCCGTACCTCCTCTTCCTCCACCTCCTCCTCCGCCTGCCCCTCCACCCCCTCCTCCGCCTCCCCCCCCTCCTCCTCCTCCTGCTGCTGCTGCTGCTGCTCCGGATCCAGCATCTCTGCGTCGAGGGCTGCCAAGAATACCAGACAGAGCGCGTGCCAAGCCCTTGGTCCCTCCGCTCCTCCCGCTGCCGCTCACACTCCCCTCCTTCCCTCCCCTCCCGTCCCTTCCCTCTTTCCCTTCCTTCTCCGCCCTCCCCTCCCTCCCTCCTCTCTGCTCAATGGAGAACCCAGCATGCTTACCCTCATTGCTCTCTTTTCTCTCCACGTCACCAGCGGCAGCACCAGCAGCACCAGCAGAAGCAGAAGCAGGAGCAGTACCAGCAGCACCAGCAGTACCATCAGGAGCAGCTGCAGCAGCATCAGAGCCAAAAGCAGGACGATAAAGCAGGCCTTCCGATGCATTCACTCCAGCACCCTCCTGCTTCCTCTGCTGCTGCTGCGCCTGCCAACGCCTCTCCATACCACCCACTTCCCCTCCCCCTCCACCCATTCCTCCCACCCCTGCCACTCCTCCCACCCCGCCCCTCTCACCACCCGTACCAACACCGGCACCTGCTCCCTCCTCTCCACCCCCCCCTGCACACGCACCTACCACCACCACTCCTCCGACCTTCTGCCCCCGCACCCGCCAGGAGCCCCCCTTACTCCCACCCTCTCCCCCAACCCCCACACTCTCCTCCACACCACTCTGCGGGTACAGGAGTGCCCCCATAGACTCCATAGACTCCAGACTTACGCTGGGCGATGGGAGAGGGGAGGCTGTGTTTGGCTGGGGCAGCAAGGGGGATCCAGGTGCGAGAATCGGCGATCCAAACAGGGGCGTGGCGTGGGGAAAGGAGTGGGCAGGAGAGGGGGAGAGGGGAGGGGTGGAGGCTGCCGTGTAGATTCTCCCGGATTCCCCTGATGCTGCTGCTGCTCTCCCCTCTGCGCCCATACGCGCCCCTCCACTCCCTGCCAGGGCTGCAGCTACAGTAGTAGCAGCAGCAGTTGCAGCAGCAGCAGTGGTCCCAGCGCCATCAGTGGCAGCTGAAGCAGCGGCAGCAGCATTCCCAGCACAACCAGCAGCAGGAAGGCAGGGAGCAGGAGGAGCATCAGCATCAGCATCAGCACCAGCACCAGCACCAGCACCAGCACCAGCACCAGCACCAGCACCAGCACCAGCACCAGCACCAGCACCAGCACCAGCATCAGCATCAGCATCAGCATGGGTATGAGCATGAGCAAGGTAGGCGGCAGCCGCAGAATGGGCAGATCCAGGCGCAGGAAGCTTTGGCGGCGCCTCAAGGCACGCAGGGCGAGGCGGGGGCAGCGGCTGAGGCTGCGGCAGCGGCAGCGGGAGGGGCAGCGGCAGCGGGAGGTCGAGCATGGGCATCTGCTGCCTGAGCATGGACAACAGCCCTTCCATTTCCAGCGACCTCAGCTCCAGCTGCCGCATCCTTTCTCGCATCCCTTGCGCCTCGCACCTCGCTCCCTCCAGCTGCTCCTCCTGCTCCTGCACCCGTGCCTGCAGCCGCCGCTCCCTCTCCCCGTCCACTGCCGCCACCCGCCTCTCTGCTTTCCCCGTGGCAGCAGCAGCACCAGCAGCGTCAACAGTGGCAACTGATACATTTGCTCCCGCTCCTGTTCCCGCTGCCATTGCCGTTGTACCAGCAGTTGCAGCAGCAGCAGCAGCAGCAGCAGCCACGCTAGCCGATGGAGCAGCAGGGGGGGCAGCAGCCCTCCCTGCCTTAGTTTGGTCGCTTTCAGAGGCAGCGGACGAGGAGGAGGAGAAGGAGGGGAATGAGGCGAGGGAGCGGGATGGGGAGGGCGAGGAGTGGGAGGAGGCGCCTTGTGCCTTGGCCCTGATCTCCTCCTCCAGCTGAGCGACTGGTAAGTGCCAGAAGGGCGGTGGGAGTTTGGGGAAGGAGAGAGAGGGGTTAAGAGGAGGGGGGAGGTGAGAGGGGGAGGTCAAAGGGATGAACGGTTTGGCAAGGGTGGATGGATGATAAGAGGGAAAGAACCTGATGTAAAGCAGAGGACAACGAAGGAACAAGAAACTTGATGGAGGAAAGGACAAGGGAGGGAGCGAGCGGGTGAGGGAGTAAAGGAGTGAAGGAGAGAGGGAGAGAGGATTTTCTTCCAAACAGTAATGGCAGAGGCCGGGGGGATGGCATTGACACATACTACGAGCAGCGAGGGCAGCAAGAACGGACGAGGAAGTCAAACGAGCACCAGGCACAGCAGCTCCAACTCCTCCCTCTGCTGCTGCTGCTGCCGCCTTGTCTGTGGGCACCAACGCTGCCCCAACAGCCGCAGCAGCGGCAACAGCTGGCGTTGTGAACAAGCCGCAGTTCATGCACCTGCCGTCCTTCCCTTGGACGCCGCCAATGACGAGACCCCCGTGGCTGCTGCTGTTGCTGCCGCCACCGCTGCTGCTCCTGCTCCCCCCGCCACTGCTGCTGCTGCTGCTGCCTAGCAGGTCGCCTCCCTCATCTAGTGCCTCCCCAAGCCCAAGCCCAACTCCACACATGCACATAGGCATCGCAGCCGCACCCATCCCATCTGCACTGCTACGAATCGTACTGCCACTCGCTCCTCCCCCTCCCCCTCGCCTCCCTTCCGAGTTGCCTCCAGCAGCAGCAGCAGCGAGGGAGGCGGTGAGCCGGTGGGGTGCTTGGGTAGCTTCCAGCAGTCGCACGCGCTCCCGTAACCGGTGCACCTGCCCAGGGGGAGGGGAGGTTTGGCATGGGATGTGCTGTGAGACTGTGCTTGGGTGGTTTAGGAGCGATAGCATGGATGATGATCTGTGCTGGTGCATGGTTGCAGGACGCACAGGCAGGGGCAAGTAAGGGGGAGGGAGGGAGAGAGAACGCGCACTGGCTGGTTGTAACACAGCCACAAACCTTTCCCACTCACCCCTCAGCACACCCACTCACCCCTCAGCACACCCACTCACCCCTCAGCACACCCACTCACCCCTCAGCACACCCACTCACCCCTGAGCACACCCACTCACCCCTGAGCACACCCACTCACCCCTCAGCGCACTCACTCACCCCTCAGCGCACCCACTCACCCCTCAGCACACCCACCCACCCCGCAGCACACCCACTCACCCCACATCACACCCACACACCCCGCAGCACACCTGCTCACCCCGCAGCAGACCCACTCACCTGGCCCCTCAGCACTGCCGCACTGGCTGCTTCCTGCTGCAGGTGCTTCCACTCCCTGTGGCCCCCGCCCACCATGCCCACCAGCCTCACAGGCAGCACTGACTGCGGGTGCAGCACACTCCGCAGCACCACTGCACCCTCCACCACCCCCCCCAGCTCCTCACACCACCCCCCTATTGCAACCTCGCCTCCCGGCCCCACTCCTCCTCGCCCCCATTCTCCCGCGCATCCTCCCTTCCCCCGCCCTTCCCCCTTCTCGTCTACCGCCACTGCCCTCTCCTTCCCCTCCGCCCCTCCGCTCCCCTCCCTCCCCCCCTTCCCCTCCTTGGTGTCGCTCCCCTCCTGGACCTCAGCAGCACTCCCCGAGGGAGGAGCGGGCGCGGGCGGCAGCGAGGAGAGGTCGGGCGGCATGCACCACACCTCGGGCTCCTGGAAGTGCCTGTCGCCGTGCACGGGGGAAAGGGAGAGAGGGGGAGGAGGGAGAAGGAGGGGGAAGAAAGAGGGGAGGTGTCAGGAACCCTGGACAGAGGCGGGGGCGCAAGTTGCATGAGGAAAGAGCGGGAGCAGGTGAAGGGACGCGGGGAGCGTCGTACCATCCAGCGAAGTAGTGGCATTCGTCCGCGCTCCCAGCAGCAGACAGGCACCGCCCATCAGCAGCCAGCGACCGCAGCCCCACTCGCCCGCCTCCGAAGCACACCAGCACAAACAGGCTCTCCACGGGCCACGCCCCGCCGACCCCGCCGCCAACCCCGCCGCCATATGTTGCGCCCGCGCCGCCATTAAACCCGCCGCCTCCGCTGCTGGTACCCTCCAGGAGACCGTCAGCGCCTCCACTACCAGCTGTCCCTGCTGTCCCTGCTGTCCCTGCTGTCCCTGCTGTCCCTGCTGTCCCTGCCGCTGCGGCGACTACGGCCTTTGCGTCGCCGTTGCAAGGCCCCGCGCCGTCGCTCACGGCGCCTGCTGCGCCGGGTGCACCCGCTGCGCCCGCCGCGTCTGCTGCACCCACTGCCGCTGCTGCTCCTGCCGGATCTGTGCAGCGGTGGTCGACGGTTCCGAGCTCCCAGCGGCCGTTGGATTCGACGGCGGCCAGCAGCTTGCTGCCCAGGGCGAGCGCCACGATGGACCCGTGGCGCAGCACCGCGCTGCCGGGCTCCCGCGTCCGCCATAGACGCGTCTTCGCCATGCGGTAGAAGCCGGCAGAATTGCTGCCTCTGCTGTCGGAATCCGCCCACCCTGCCACCGCCGCCCCCGCTGGCCCCGCCATCACTTCCGCAGCCGCCCCAACCGCCCCAGCCGCGCGTGCTGGCGTTGCCGCCGCCGCCGCCGTTGCTGCAGCTGCTTGCGCGGCCGCGGAAGCGGAAGGTACACCCCCAAAACCCGGTTGCGCCGACATGCCTGCCGCGATTCCCGCCGCGACTCCTCCGACCTTCCCTTCCGTGCTAGATCGTAGGCCTGCCTCCCCCGCGGTTCCTCTGCCGATTCCGGAGATCCCCCCTGCTGCGCCTGCGCCGAAGTTGGGTCTTCCTATCCCCGCCACCGCATTCCCCCCAAGCGCGCCGGCGCGGTCTGTTCCCCCTCCATCTCCGCCCTCGTGCGCGGTTCTGGTCCCCGCACCAGCTGCCACCTCCGCGCACGCTGGTGTTCCGTTTCCGCCAATGCCCCTTTCCTTCCGTTCCACCTTCCGCGGACTCCCCGCGCTGCTGCACGCAAACTCATCCCCCCCACACGAGCGCAAGTCCGCCATGTCCGCATCCGGCCTCCCCGTGGCTGCGGCGGAAGCGGGAGACGCGCAAACCGCTCCGCCTCCCGCGGACCCGTCATTCATCCACCGCCGGGTGTGCTGCTGCTGCGCGCTGGAAAAGCTCCCCTTTCCCCTCCCCACTCCGCCGATTCCGCCCAGCGCCGCTGGCACTGCCCTCATTGCGCCGATCCCCCCGCCATCTCCCAGTCCGCTGCCTGCTTCCCCCGCGCCTCCGCTCAAGCCGCAGAGAACCCTTCCACCAATGCCCCCAGACCATTCCCCTTCCGCCGACCGTTCCGCGCGATCCCCGGGAGGCACGGGGCTGGCGGGGCGGGGAGTGTGGATAAGCGCAAGCGCAACGTGATGGAGCGGCGTTGCGGGCGCAAGCGCGGGGTTCAAGGGCGGGGAAGATACGGATATTCCGCGAGCTTCCGAGCCTGGGAACAGCGACCGGCGCGAATTCGGAGTTCCGCTTCTGCTCCCCCGCGCGGTCACCGGCGCGGCGGCGCTCTCTTCAGCTGCTGCGGCTGCTATCGCCGCCGTCGCTGCCGCTACTAGCGCGGAGGACGACGAAGCGACTGTTGCGGATATGGACGTAATAGGTCCTGGTGGTGTTGGCACCGACGTTGGCCCAACCTCCAGGCTATGATCGCCGAATCTCACCTCTCCCGGTCCGCTCCCTACGCCGCTTCCTCCGCTGTATCCCCCGGATCTGCCGAAGCTAGGCAGCAGGTTCGCGATGGAGGTTCGGGGCGTGACGCGCGGAGAGCTTGGCCTGGGACTGGTCAGGTTGAGCGAGGGAATGGAGATTGGCGAAGGGACGGTGTAACGCTGCGAAAGCTTGTTCGCGGCAGTTGCGGAGATGGATCGTGAGGGAGTGGCGGCGGAGAGGGAAGGCGAGGAGGGTCGCTGATTGGACGAGGAGGTTCCGAAGAGCGGCGGCGGAACTATTTGATGTGATGGCGCAGTGTAGGCGGAAGGTCCGGCGGAATACCCCGCGGAGTGCACGGGTGCAGCATAGGAGCGACTAGGGGAGGGAGCACGGCGAGAGGAGGAGGTGAGGGAGACGCGGGAATTTCCGGGAGACGTGGATCGCGAGGGGGCCATGGCGGCACGGCCTACACTTTCGCAGAGTCAGCGAGCTTCACGCTGCCGCGGATAGGAGTACGCAAATATATCCGCTGACAGCTGTAAGCCTGCACTGTAAACTGGGCTGCTAATAGAAAGCAAATCGGTAGATGCGGCGTCTAAACGTCTCGTGGCTACGTAGAGGATTCGCGTTGTAGTGAGGTGATTGCAAAGATTCGATCGGCCCTACTGTGTGGTGACGCGCCGCCTAAGGTGGCTCGACTCATCCACGATGAGGAATCCTACATGGCCACCGTAACAAGCAACTAAATCTGAACCCCTAACAAGCTACTAGATTCAATCTTCGAAGTCATGACTACACTGCCCCCGTCCAGTGCTCCTTCACACGGAAAGGTCCCACTGGCCATCTCTAATCTCCTGTCTGGCCGCCTGGTCATAATCAGACTACGCCTGAATCTCGCATGAGAGATTAGTTTGGGTGAATGCTCGTTTAGCCAGGTTCAAGAGAATGCCTATCTAGTTTATGAATCTACTAGTCCTGGCCTCTAGTCCCGTCCTCTAATCCTGGCCTATTGCGACGCATCTAATCGTTGAGGTGAGCAAGCGTGTCTGACATTCTGGCGCTAACCCAATCTCCGTAACCGCCTGGATGAATGGGGACGAGTTTTTGGAGGGTGGCTGGATTTCGGGGACATTTAGGAACTGGTGACCGCTCCACGACGGGTGTGCTGTGCAGCTCTGTTCACTGATCCTGGGTGCTCCCTCGCTCAGGTGACAGCGAGGAAGAAGAGGAGGATGGAGGAGGGTGGGTGCGTGCAAGGTCAGAGTCGCAACGCAAATTGTCTGCTCCGGGTGTGGCACAGCACGAGGCACACCTCGGGTCAGGAACAGGGCTTACTTTTGGTTTTTAGTCACCCTTAAAACATTGGGCTTCTCGGAAGTTTACCCTTAACTTTTAGGGTCCAGCGGAAGGCAGCCCTTAATCATTAGGGTTCATTCGCACAGTACCCTTTTCACTGTCACGGTTAGAATCTACCAGGAGATGTATGGACAAGACGAAAAGGGTGTGAGTAACGTGCACGGGGCAGTGAGGGGAGAATGACGAAAATCCACTACGTGAGTTGTCTCCCCTCCATTTGTGACAACAAGGTGTGAGTAACGTGCTGTGAGGGGAGAGGAACGAAAATCTACCAAGGGAGTTCTCTCCCCTCTGTTGGTGACTACGAGGTGTAAGTAACGTGCTGTGAGGGGAGAAGTACGAAAATCTACTAAGGGAGTTGTCTCCCCTCTGTTGGTGGCTTCAAGGTGTGAGTACGTGCTGTGAGGGGAGAACAACAAAAATACCCTTAATCTTAAGGGTAACACTCTGCATCGACCCTTAATCCCCGAGTTCATAAAACTCCAACCCTTAATTTGTGGGGCCAACTGCAAAACTACCTTTTATTTGACTCAAATTCAGGGAAACAATTCTTAAAAAATAGGCCCTGGTCAGGAGGTAATGTGTGAAAAGATTCAAGCAGTCATTCGGTGGAGTTTCCTGTCTTGTGCGGTCAGGGGTGCGGTATGTTAGGTTTTTTAACAGAAACCGGGCGCTCAGGAATCCCTTCAAATATCACCCTGAAAACCAAGGGTCCGAATATTCACTGCCCTGTTTTTTCAAGGCCAGCCGAAGAAATGCTCGGAGGGCACACATTTCCAAGTATTCTTCTTGAGTTGTTCCACGCTCCGCGGCTCATCGGAGTCACGTGTTCTAGGGATGTGTGGGAGCTACTCCTTCCCAACTAGTTGGCTGGTAGCCAGCTCCTAGGAAGTGTGACGGGCTAGGAGAGTGGGAGAAACTAGTACTCTAGGGGGGGAGGCACCGGAAAGAGGAGGGTATGGGTGGTGGGAAAATCAGAGCTAGCAAATAATCTACTCGAAGTTTCCAGGGTATCCTTGAAAACTTTTCGGATTCTGTTAGGGTTCGGTGAGACATAGCCCGAAGAAAATCAGTGCTGGTCTGAAAACTAACTTAGTATTTCAGTCAACTCAGGGCAAATGCTCTGATAGCATATGCCCTGGTGCGGTCTCAGAACGAGCGCGTTGCCCGAGCTTAGCTAACGCGGTTGAGGGAGAATCGTCAGTGCAGAGGGTGGAAGTCCCTCCCCCTCTCCCTTTACCTCCATGATCAAACACCCCGGCCCGGGACAAATCTGGTCGCGCCTTGACTTCCAGACCAAACTTTCCCTCCACCTGGCGGCTGCCCCGAGGGTGTGTTTTTTTCGCCTTGAGCAGCAAGGCTGGGGCACAAGCCAATCCGATTGCCTTGTTCGGCATTTGAGAGCCGCCCCACCACCACCCCCCACCCTCCCCCCCCCCTCCCCTCCCCAAACAAACCCGGCGGGCACCTCCAAACAAGGTCACAGAGCTGGGCAGGCGAGGCATAACAGCAGATGAGCAAGGAGGGGAGGCTCGGCAGGTTCCTTCGGTAGCCTCTCGAATCGCGATGAATTTGCAATTTCGCGCTTCCTGGCTACAAAACACAAGATCCAGCGGCTCGACAAATAAATATTATCCAAAAGTGGCTCTCACATTTTGCTGGATCTTCCCGTTTTCTACATGGTGTTACACTCAGCCGTACAAAGGAAGGAGTATTCCTGATATATGTCAGCCACCTTGTGTTATAAGATGACAATTGCGATCGCTACACGTCAGCATATGAGCTCACGTGTACAGATCTCTATCGTCCACAACCACGGGTCGAAGAGTCTGACACAGTATGGGAATTACTCTAAGATAGAGCTGGCCAAGGGCTCATTTTTTACAGACCGCTTGTTCAACACTTTTGTTTAGGCTGCCCAGACATAACAATAAGTCTGACATGTCGAATCGCAAGGAACCAGCTTGACACTTCCGAGCCTTGGAAATGGCAGGTACACAGCAAACCATTTCGCCCAGCCTCGTGATGGCGCCATCGATTTATGGAACAGACTGGCGGTGCGTTGCACTCGAGGCTGGCTTATTATTGAAAGGGGACTGTAGCTTACGTAGAAAGTACATTATCAATGTTCCGTTACAACTAGCTTACAATATAGAACTAGCTCTTTGTATCTCTATTTAGCCCATCCCCATGCTTTAGGGTGCATCCCCAAGTTTATTTTCTTCATCTTTCTATGTAGGAATGCGCCCTTAGATGTTGATGTAGTCACCATAACAATTGTGACATCAATTTCCTGTAGTACTTGTGATACATGAAGTTTGCATTCCAGCAAGTTCCGTTGTTGGTGTAGCTAACAGTATCGAGTTTCTCTGTAAGCAACCATGCTCGAGTGCTGACGTCATCAAAGCATCGCGGGTCTATAGATGACGTCAGCATACCGCTTCAGTTACGCGAGGCTTAACGAGTCGTTTCAGTCACACGAACAGTCGCGACCAGGCCCCCAGATGTCAGGAAAATTTTCCTGATTCAGGAAAAAAACAGGGTGTTGAGGGGTACCAGATCTGATTTGCTAGGGTTTTGTTTTTGGCATATCCTGAAATTTCAGGGTTTTTTTGTAAGGGATTTCTGTCAGGTCAGATTTTTTTTGTAATGGATCCTGAAATTTCAGACTTGTATCGAGCATGGGTTCTGATTTTGTCTAAGGCGTGATTTGCGAGTCCCCCCCAGAATTACAGCGATATGCGCATATTCCCCTACAAAAGTGGCCTGACTGCCAGGTTCCCTCCTGCAGACATCGTTTGCTGAGTATGTTGCAGCGCTGCCTCACGGCATTGGTCCTTTTCAAAGTGTCGGCCAGCACACAGTTTGCCTGCATGCGTGGATTGGTTGCCTTTGTAAATGCTGCCTGAATAGCCAATCACGTGTATGCCAGCGATGATGACCCAGCTTCAACACCACACTCCGGTTCGACGCCGACGCGCATGCGCCACGCTAGTTTCGGTCCAGATTCAGGAATACAGGAAGCCAACTGTGCGTGGCTAGCAAAGTGTTCACGCCTCGCCATCGTTCCCTTTCCCCCCTGCGTCTTCTTCATCTGTTTCTTCCCACGGTTGAAACTGCCACTGTGTTAGCCACTCCCAGCGTGACCTTCCCCCCGCAGTGTCGTTGTTTTACAACCACTCCGTCGTGTGTCTCTGCTCGTCGACCACCCTAGTTAGCCCCGTCCACATGCCTGAGTCAGGCGACGTGGAATTGGACGACGATGGCAACGACAGCGGCAGTCACCGTGCCGAAGCCCCCACTGGGCTTGACATGGTCCTTTCGACGCTAGGTAGTTTTCCGAAGACTCCTCGTAACCCTCCGACGGAACAAAACCCCCTATGCGCCTCGCAGTCGGTCGCCTCAACTTCTCAAGGTGTTGTCGAGCCGAATTCCGCGCCTATTCTAGGCCCATCACTGGCTAATGCTTTTACCTGTAGTCCAGGTTCCGCCCCCCCTGTGAAACCTGGCGGTCGATACCGGCAATCCACCCTGTGGAATTTTCCACGCGGTCAGCCGACGATGCCCCGCCCCTCAGCCATGTGCGAAGATGACGACAGCGATGGTGACGACACTACCGCTGCACCCGACAAGTTTCGATCGCCTGAGGATGTATACGGCGAAGCCCTCAGCAGGTTTAATACGCGGTGGTCAGAGCGGTTTCCCTGGCTTATGATCGTTAAGACTGACGCTGGATTCCCTGCGTTTAAATGCAGTCTGTGTCTTGAGCGTGCAGGACTTAGAGGGAAAGCCGGCAAACGCAGCGCAGGGCTGACGAACGTCCAGTCGCAGGCATTCAACAGGCACGCGGGGTCGGCCAAGCATCGCCTAGCCATGACAAAGCAGCAGGTGCTGATGCAGGACGCAACCAACCAGATGTGGATCGACCAGCTTCCTCAAGCCGCAGACCTGGAGAAGGAACGTGTGACTGCGCTGCTTGACGCGCTCTACTTCTGCTGCAAAGGCAACGAGCCGATGGAAAACTGGATCAGGCTCGTGCGCTTCCTCAGCCAATGTCGGCACGAGCACTTCCCCGAGCAGACCTATGGCACGTACTACAACAGGTATTCTTGTGTGTTTGATTTTGTTTTGCATGCATTTATCATCCATGACGAATGTCCATATTTCAGCATACTAATTATCTGTATGCCCTTGGCTACTGCTGTTATGGGTACGGGGAGTTCACACAGTCCATGGCAACCTGGCTGCAGACAACACAGTTGGACCACCTTCTGAGGAGCCCGTTCATCGGCTTGAGCATCGATGAGAGCACAGACCGCTGCCGCGGCAAGCACCTCATTGTGTTTGCGCACTTCATCCGCGAGAACCAAGTCGTCTGCGAATACCTGGCCCTGCTGAGCATCGACAAGGCCGACGCTGCCTCTCTGCTCACTCTACTCCTGTCTCACATCAACGCCATCGGTGTCGACCTCCGGCGGGTCGTGGGCATAAGCACCGATGGCGCTGCTGTTATGATGGGGTCGAAGGCTGGGCTTGTGACACGGCTGCGGATGCAAATTCCGCACTTGGTGTCGTGTCACTGTATTGCACACAGGTGAGCGTTGTTGTTTACCGCTACTGTACCTCGGGTTAAGTGCACTGGTGGTTTCCGCATGTGTAATGTGTATTACAACACACCCAAGGCCCAACATCTACCTTTTTTTTTTTTTTTTTTTTTTTTT